AAGGAACCTTTTAAAGGAACCCTAGGGACACTAATTTTGACAACTACCCAAAAATGAAAAAAGCGGGAGCGGTGACCAGGACTTGACTGGGCAGCGGTATTGAGACCTTCATCCACGTGGGAGTTTTACCGAAAATTAAGGGGTACCTTCGGGTTCCTTTAAAGGGCTCCATGAGGGTTTGGAGTTTCCAAAAATGAGGGAGTACCTTATTCTGGGGGCCTTTTAATAAGGATCCTACTATGTAGGGTACTATATTAGGGTCCCCTATTATCGGAAACCCCCAAGTAACCGCTCGGAGAGGGCTGTGTTTCTGCATTCCAATTTCCTCTTGGTGCCCTACAGAAAATTAATGCAGTAGCCTCAGTACTTGGTAATGTTCCGGCAAAGGCTCTTTGTACGATATGACTGGTTTCAAACTTTACCAAAACTCACGTATCACATTTTCGCTTTAGAACCATTAGGCCCCAAATCGCACTATCGCACTCAAAGCAACACCAGTAAGGGAGGTACAACGCCACCCTGTAGGGATTACCTTACAAAGCCTGACAAGAGCACGGAGATAGAAGCTGGACTAGCTTCAACGATGTGTTGGCATCCATAAGGTACCTTCCATTGTTCGTCCTGTCAGAGCTTCAAAAGGAGAGACCCTCGATATATAGCACGGCACACTGGAGAAGCGCTACGCTGCCCTCAAGGCGTTGACGGCTTCCCTGGGCCCATCGTGGCGACGCCAGGGCCTCAGCACGAAGCAAAAGCTCAGAACGGATGTGTTGATGATGGGTAAGCTAGTTGCACCGTACTGTTGAGTATGTCTTTGTAGAAAGTCGTTGGCTCACAGAAACTCAGAGTGAAATCAGTTGGGCTTCTGTACTTGGGGAACTTGCGGTCTAGCTGAATTGATTGCGATGCCAAGCGGCAGGAGGCCTTCTGGCCTCCCTGAAACAACTTGCTCGGAGAGTTGGCGGCGGAGGGTCAGAGCTTGAGAATTTCCGGTAGAAGCGCCTCCAGGGCCATGAACGTCGACTCATGATTGCCTCTCCCTGAGAGACTCTCAGACGTCCGCGGAAATGGAGGAGTGGCTCTTCCTTTAAGCCCGAAAAAACCCCAAGAGCACCGGAGGCCGAGGACCGAATCTAGATCCATCTGAGAGACCCGCGGATGCCAAAGGAACGCTTCTCAGTCTTACACCTGGGAGCAAGCGCCCATCGAGCAGTCAAATACTATATATATATATATATAACATATAACATATAACATATAATATATAATATATAATATACGATGCAACATCCATCATATACTCTATTGGGTTTCGGGCACTTCTTTTGAAATCCCGGGCTCTGCGCTCAAAGCCGAGGCTTCCTCCGAGGAAGCCTCGGCCGCGCCTGCGCCGCGGCCGCCTCGCTGGCGGCGGGGGCACTGGCGGCCCAGGCGAGCGAAGACTTACCTTTGGTTACTATAAGGGATCTATAAGGCTACTATAATATACTTCTGTTATCTATTAAGGTACCTTTCGTCATAAAGGGATCTATATAAGGGTTACTTTAAGGGATCGATGAGGGTAGACTTACCTTCTGTTATAAAGGGCTCTATATAAGGGCTACTATAAGGGATCTATAGGGGTTACTATAAACGGCATTAGAAGGGTTACTATAAGGGATCTATAAGGCTACTATATTATAGGCGCCTTAATAATCCTATAACTTACCTTTGGTTAGTAGGGAATGGAGGAATGGGGTAGAATTATAACTACTGTTACTACCAGTTTTCCACTCCCTACTAACCAAAGGTAAGAAGAGCCAAAAATCCTTCGGAGTATTCCCAGAGACTCCAATATATCCGTTAAATCAGGAATATACCTGAAAATAAAAGTAGCATCCCCAATATGATTTAAGGTATATTCCTTAGTTGAGGGATATTGGAGTCTCTGGGTTCCTGAAATCACGAGGATGAGCCCGTACGTAATTGGAGGACTTTTCAGGATGGAGTATTCCCTAAATCACGCGGAGGAGGGTTCCTACATAAAGCTTCAGCTTTGTGCGATGTCCGGTCCGTTAAATGATCGTCGTTGTTTGTGACATGGCTGTTTATGCTGTATGATCAGTTCCTACACCCAAAACCCTACCGACGGCATGCTTAGTGCTTTCGGCCCAGGCGTGAGTAGGACTTCTTGTCCCCCCGAGTACCCGAAATTGTTCAATTCGAAGCTTGCAGCAGCGATGCAAATCTTCGTGAAGACCTTGACTGGCAAGACCATTACCCTCGACGTTGAGGCCAGCGACACAATCGACAACGCTGCTTGGCATGTTTCGATCAGAGAATGTCGAAACGGCCCCCCTCCCCAGCATGGTTGCCACTCCCTTAACTGTGCAAGCCTGAATGGTGCCCGGAACCTATCCTGAAGTTCTGGTTTAGGGTGTGCGCATGCCCACAAAACCTTTCTTTAAAACCGGAACCTGAACTGAGGGGTCTGCAGCTTCTAGAACGCGTCAGGTTTAGGCTATAGCGGCTATGGGTTGTCAGGCAGCCAGGCAGACGCACACACACAAACACAAACACAAAAAAAAAACAACACTCACAAACAGCGATCTACACAAAAACGTACGTAAATCATCCAGGGCCTAAGCCCCCGAACCCCATCGCATCCCAACCCCCCGCCCCCCTGTGGTGCGTTGCCTGTGTCTTGCTTGGGTGCCTGCTCTCGGTTTCTTTGTCTCCCCCTCCCCAGTGGGGTGATGCCTGTGGTGTCCGCCACTTGTTAAGGTAGGCAAGGAACGCGGCCTCTTACCGAAGCATGAATCTACGTAAGCGTATGCTTGCTCCAGCATGCCACCAAGCAGTCGTTGCAATCTTGGCTGACTCGTCGCACGCTGTGCAGGTTGTAATTACATTGGACTAGCTGATGAGCAGCTAGCTAGCCAACCTACAGAGGTAGCTATTCGTCAGTAGTAGTACAATCATCCGTATGGAGATTGCTATTACACTAGAGCTAGCGGTTTTCCCCTTTTTCCGTTGCAGATGGTGCCTCTGCCGCTGTCGTATAGCCTTCGCTCTGGGTGCGTGCATGCACGGAGCATTGTATGTCAAATGGATCCGCCCCTCGCGGTCTGGGTGGGCAGTAGGCCTTCGGGGGCAGAATGGGGATCCAGTGGCGCTCAGTGTGCTGGTTCGTGATGGTGTTCTTCGTTCCTGGCATCTGTGCAGAGTCTTCTTCCTCGTCGAGAAGGCTACCCGGCGCAGGCACGCGATGATGATGACGATGACAGTGCTGCAGGTCTTGTCTGTTTTTGGCACTTTTGGTTTACGGTTTTGGGTCCATCGCTGATGGTGGCCAGCTTCCCCGACTGTTGCACTGTGTCCTTTTCCTGATGAGGGCGATCGGGTGCATGATGCCGGCCATGTTGGCGGATGCGCCGCAGGTCTGCAAGAGCCTGCTTTTGGTGCTTTCCGTTTTGGCGTCGATCGTGTTTCTGCTACGGCTTCAACTGCTCTTCGTTCTCGTGGGATGGTGTTTGGTGACGACGGCACCAATCCGACCCCTCTCCCCATGCCTCAACTGGCGCCCTTCTGGACAGATACTCGCAACTGAAGGTGGGGACGACTGTCTTTTTCACTCACTCCAGCAATAAAGCTCGTTCTCATCGGCAACTTCGCGCCTTCGTAGCGGCCACCTTCAGGAACGAACAGGCCATCATACCGTGAGCTTTGGATCGGACAAGGACGCATCACGGTTGATAGTGTTCAACAGGACGAGAATGCTTCGTACAAATATTTCGTTCAGGTTGCCGCCACTCCCAACTCCATGGCAGGATCTCTGGAACTTTGAGGCTTTCGTGGGCAACCCGCAGGGGCCAGCGTACCAGTTCAACCCAGGCTGCAAGGGTGTCGGCATCTTCCTTTGGCACACAGGCAAACACTTTGAGTTTGTGCGCAATGCTTCTCGTGATGGATGGACTCAACGTACACGCTAACAGGACTCGGATGGTGGTCTGAGAGCGGCCACTCCGTGGCAGCGGTAGCCCTGCACGCTCGGACTTTAGTTCTGTTGCCTCGCCTCTCGGATTTCGCTTCGTCGGTTCAGGGTTCTAGGCCCCAGTCCCGTCAGGTTTCCAGCGCAGGCAGGTTCAGGAAGATGCCGTGCTGGCTTCCATCCGAGACGAGGCAAAGGCTGGTGGTGCGATGTGTGCAAAGTTGTGGCGCGGCCAACGGTGCCGGGAATGTTCGGGGCTTCACCCATGCGCGCAACAACCACGGGGTCCACCCCGGTGTGCCGAAACACAATTTTTTCTCAGATGTGGTATGACTGGAGTGAAGATGTTGTCATTGGGAAGGTTCCACAGTTGCGTCACATTTGGACATGCGCTAAATGCAAGGGTGGCATTAGAGATGGCGAATGGCCATCTTGTCGTCAAAGCCGCCCATCAGTACGCGCGGACGTGTGTCCATGAAGCGGAACCGTACCAAGTGCTCCAAGCTTCGACTTGCTCGACAAGTGGTTGGGGGACACCGTGTCTGACAACAGCAAAAAGCGCCGATGGAAAATAAGCGGTCTCGCGAAGGGGCGGTAAGGCATGACCTGGCGGAGTTTCTGTGCCCTCGCTCCAGTCGCCCCAACCAGTGACTCACACTGCGTGTCACAAATGCGCGAAGTTCTGCTATCCGTTTAAATCTTGCAGGGAGGTTTGTAGCCCCAGGGATGCCGAAAGAATTTGGAAAGGAAACACACGCTTTGGCGCAGGCTACGCGCGCCAGCTCACGTTGAGCATGCTGTGAAAACTTGGTGTCTCGCCGCTGATGACCTGTGCGCAGAAGGAGTAGAACCGAATCCCGGACCGTGCTCGGATGGTCGTTTGCGTTTGTGCTTCCTTAACTACAAAAAGGGCGGTCCCGTGTGCGCGTTAGCAGCAGTGCCATGTGGTCGCCCTGGCTGAGACCTAGGCAGCAAGTTTTCAAGCTCAGCAGTTGACACAGTGTATTCGCTTTCCAAGGCCGTTGTGGGCATGACTCCCTTGGGCGCCGCTTTGTCCGTGGTGGCAAGCTGCTGGCGGTTCTTGCGAGCATCCAACCCCGATCAGCAAGGGGACTTGCTTACGATGGACTTCATGTCCTTCTCTCTTGCTTTCGGCTGGCGACGGGAGAACGGGCTTATCGAAGGAGGCTTGGACGACGAGCTCATGGTGTCTAGGCGCCTTGCTGACGGCAAGTGGCTTCCTTGGTCAGCCGTCGGTGACTGACATGTTCTTCCGCATGAGCATGCTTGTGTTGCACAGGCAGTGGTTGGCGCCGTGTGGGTAGGGTCAGCCCGTTGCTTGTCGGTACGAGTGTCGAGTTCGCGGTCCTTGGGCCGGGCTCGCCTTGGCGTGAAGCTCGCTTTGGGGAGGAGCACCTCTGGGACCACAAGCCTTTGCTCTTGAACGGCGCCGTGCTTCCGTACCGTGAGCGCACGTCCTGCCTGACTGGTCTGCTGACGTGGCTAAGGCTTGGGAAAAGCTGCCGGCTCTGACTCCCTGTGGTGACTCTAACCGCGACTAGCGCCACTTTTGCTGTGACAGTCTCGAAACGAGCCTCGACGAGGCTTTGGCTCACTCTGCGGTTGCCAGTTGCCGACTGGATCTGCCAGATTGCAAGGCTCGACACCTTCCCTCATGAATCTTGGAGAATATCGCTTTCAGGGTGCTCTTTTTGCATAGGTGCTGTTTATAGGGAAATATGAATGAAAGGACCCTTGAATTGCTTGATTCAGAGTCTGGTGGGAAAGTTGCGGGGTTTTAGTCTGGTATGTTACGGTCTAGGGTTTGTTCAGACGGAAATCAAAATAACAGAATCCATAACCCGGGTTCTCCCCGGACCCGATCGAACCCCTTATCCCCCGCCCCTGGACATGGCCCCGCGCGGCCTTCTCCCCGGTTCTCCCCGAGCCCGAGTCGAACCCTTTATCCCCCACTCGCTCTTGGACGTGGCCCATGGACATTGAACTTCAACATGGATTTGGATGACAACTGCTCTTGCCCAGGGGCCCAGAGTGGGTTAGGGCTTTGGGCTTTTCGAGGGTTGAGGGTTGTGGGCTTCTTGTTTCGTTGTGCGGTTTTGGGTTGCAGGCTTCAGATCGTGAAGGGTTTTGCGCGCTCGAGTCTCGCGTGCTTCCCCTGTAGTTCCCGTGTACTTTCCCTGTAGTTTCTCTCTGGTTTCCCTGAGGCCGCAACCTTTTGGACCTCGCGTGGTTTTGATGCCACACAAGGCCGGGGACGGGCGCGGCACTTCGGGTTTGAAGTGATTGAAGGAACCTGAAAGAAGCCTTTGCCTCGCCCCAGATTTCCCTGAGCTTGGGGTTGGTTCCGGGTCGGGGGGTTCGGGGTCTGCCACGGTTTGCCTTCCATGGTGCTGCATGCCCTGGCCTTAGGCTTTGGGTTTAGGGAAACAGTTTAGCGTTTCGGGTTTGGGGGTTAGGTTTAAGCCCAGTTGCCTTTCATAAGCACTTGCCTCTCATTCCCTTTAATTCCCTTGTAATTCCCCTGTAGTTTCCCTCTAGGTTTAGGCTTTGGTCAGGAGTCAGGAGGTTTTTTTTTTGGGGGGGGGGCGGGGGGGCGGTTTCGAGGCTGATTTCAGGATGCAGCCTCCTGATCCAAAATCTCCCGAAACCCAGTTGGCTCCGGCCACGGCAACTCTGCGCAGCAACGGCTTTCAAAAAAACCCGAGACTTTGCAATGACTTTGCAAGAAAATGTGATGCTAAGCTCGAGGGTGACTTCTATGAGTGGTGAGGTGGTTGGCATGCCTGTTGCAATGGGTTCCGGGCCTGCCTCCGCTACCACAGGTACGCGATCTGCAAAGTGCGCAGATGGGCCGATTTACGGCTGCAATGGTTTTGACTCCATCGATTCGCACGGCGCTGTCCTGACATGTGCACAGCGCCCTCCGCACCGGGAGGACGATCAGGACGCTGCTGGAGAACGAGGAGATGGACGCGCTGCGGGTTTAGTGACTCTGTTTTTGGCGGTTTTAGTTTTGGTTATGGGAGCATGGCCGCCGCTACGGCAGCTGACTTTCCTTTGCTACGGGGAGGAAGCAAGCTCCTGCTGGGACTCCAGCAAATTTTGCAAGAGGCGGATAGCAACGACGACGAGGACGAGGACAGCACTGATGATTGGTTGCGTGCTGCATTGGTTCGGCTGGTAGAGCGCCAGCCCAAGAACCTTTTGCAGGAACTCAAGAGCTTGGTGAAAAAGGCCGGTCGGAAAGTGCATACTGCGATTGACGAGGGCTACGATAGCTACGAGGGTGGTTGGCATGATCATGAACATTGGCATGCACAAGCCGAGAGTGACGAGAACTACGGTGCGTATGGATGGTCCCAACAACAGTCGCCCACCTTCGGTGCTGAGTGGTGGACCGGCTGGCAGCAGGATGCATCCGGTTGGTGGTTTGACGCAGGCAGTCAGAGGGCTGCATCCGCGTGGGCGCGCGACGAGTGGGATGATTGGAATCCGGACGTCGGTGGATGGGGGTCTGCCTCGGCTTTGACCTCTTCGTGGAAACCACCGGCATCTACCACTAATGAGCGGAAGGTCACGGTTGCCGCGGCCAAACCCAAGAAAGCGGCGGAATCCGAATGGCAGGTGGTGCGCTCTAAGCGCCAGCAGCGGCAGCAGGGAGCGCTCGATGAGACGCGCGGTTGGCATGTGCAGCAGGGCGCATGGACGCCTCCCACAGGCCATGCGATTGGCCATGTCACCAATGCGCAAGACTTGGGACATCAGCTTGATGTTTCCTCCGGCGTTGCTTGGGTCATGGTCACCGACGACGTCAACGAGGCTAGCATTGCTTTGGGCATGGTGGAGGGAGCCATCAAGGATGAGGATAAGCAGTCGCTCCGAGTTGTTTTCAAAGGTGATGCGAAACAGCTTGAGAAGGCCAGTATCGAGTATGAGTTCATGACGGTGCCTGGCACGGTGGACGGGGCGCTACGGCCGCGTAGATGGCCTGTGGCCTCGATCGGTTCCTTGCCGACCCTCGCGAGGCTAATCACGAGAGCTTCTGAGGCCATTGTGGTTCGCAAACCGCCACCCAGCATCCAGGAGAGGCGTGCTTCTACTTTTGTGGTTCGATGTGAATGTGACCGCAAGCTCGCGCCTGAGGCTTGGATCGCTGCCTTAGCCTGCCCCGCCTCGGTGGTGCGTCAATGGGCCCGCGCTGTGGGCATCAAGCAAGCCGATATCCTGGACACTTTCAGTCCCAAGCGGGTGGGCCAGGACCGGGTTGTGGTCATGCTACGCGTGCTCAAGGCCGAGGCGGTGCAGAGTTTGGTTCGTGCGAGCGGGCGTGTTGGAGGAGAAGGTGCTCAGGCCTCGGTGTGGTTCGCCGATGTTCTTGGTACCAAGGAACAGCTCAAGCTACCTGACAAAGTGCATTGGATTTCTTGGGACTCTCAGGAGTCTTGGGAAGCCTACGGCAGTCGTGTGCACAAACTCGCAAGCCCAGAAGGCGTGGCGCTGGGCACCCACCAACTCGGGGTGCGAATGTGGGCCAGTGACAAGCGCTTTCAGCCTCAGGCGTGCACTTGGCGGCTGCGCGGCATGCGCAACAACTGGGATGCCGCTGAGACGCAGGATTTGTTGCTGCAGCTTGGCCGCGCTACGCACTGAACGGGTGGTCAACTTTGTGGCCAAGCCTGCTAAGCCTCCTAAGTCGAGGTCTGGTCCCGCAGCTTCTGGTATCGTTCCAAAGTCTGCCACGCTCAACGTGGCTGCGAAGGCAACTGTCACCAGTGCTTCGCCTTCGGATGAGCAAACTGCTGTGAATGACACTGTTCCACCCTCTGTTGCCAAGAAGCGTGGAAGGGACGAAGCCGCAGCTACGGACACCATGGAAGTTGAGACTTCTGTTGAGTGGCGACCCAGCACAGGGAGGGTGGTTGAGAATGTTGGCGAGGGTAACTGCCTCTGGCATTGCCTGGCTGCCTTCTCCTCGACTCCCGTCGTGAAGCGATCCCATCGTCAAGTTCGGCAGTTCACTGTGCATTGCATGCGTGAACGCTCGGATGAGTTGCGCCCCATTTGGGAGGCCATGGGCAAGTTCAATGACACTGGCAAGCCCTCCCAGTTTGACTGGGAAGACTACCTCAAGGACCAGGGCACACATGGGCAGTGGTCTGGTGCTTTTGAAGTGGCGGCATGGGCGGTGGCCATGAACCATCGGGTGTGGATCACGACGGACACCGGGAAACTCCATCTGATCAATCCCGACGCTCAGAACGAGAAGGCCTGGGTGGCTTTGCGCTATCTCACCGAAGGCCACTATGAGTTATGGGCCGATGTGCGTGAGGAGGAGCTCTGGACACGTGCCTGTGAGCTCTCCGTTGAGGGACGCCTGCAACTGGAGGAACTGCTCCGAGGGGGCGGGCGCCCCAAGTGTACGCTGTCTGACTTTGCCTCTAGCCGCAGTGACCGGGCCTCAACTGGATGCAACGCAGGTGTCCCCGACACCGCCAAGTCTGCAGTCCAGCGAGCCAAAGTCTGCACGAAGGTACGGCGTACGCTGTCGGACTTTGCTTCGGTGGGCAGTGCTGCGTCTGCCACCGCCGTGACCACTGCTAAGCCTTCTGGTTCCAGTCCTGCCCCTTCGGGTTCCCTAGGCACCCCCGCCCGACCGCCGGGCCCGGGGCGGGCCCAGGACGAGAACGACGATGACAAGTGGAGGTGTGATGTTTGCAAGCGCATCTTCCGGGCAACGCAGACGCTTGGCTTAGCCTGAGGCATGCCAGGAACAACCACATTCGGAGGGCTCATGCGGGGGTGCCCAAGGATGCTTTCAGCCAACTCTGGACTGATCACAGCCTTACAATCACAGTGGGACCCTGCCCCCAGCAGCTCCGCATCTGGACGTGCAGCAAATGTCACAATGGCATACGGGACGAGCGCCGCTCGGAGCACCAGGTGCAGGCCGCTGCGCGGAGACATCTGCGGGAGTGTGTGGGATTTCCGATGACCTTGCGCGAAAATCTCAAGCGATGCTCTGAGCAGCTGCTCACGCGACAGCTGGCCGGGGGAACGGCGAACTCCCGCCTCGCCCAAAGACGGCTCATGGTGGACAGTTATGCCCGAGGCAGGCATCAGACTGTGGAACTGGACAAGGTGCGTCTTGGTGTGACCTTTCGCAAAAAGGCCCTGTGGGCGGTGTGTTCCGAGTGTACGAAGTGCTTCCGTGCCGCCTCCGGCCTGAAGGGCACTTGCAAGCCTGCTCTACGGACTCGTCTGTTGGCAAGGAAGGCCTTGCTCTGGCAACGACTGCGTCTGGCCAAGGGCGGCCAAACTCTTCCCATGGTAGTGCGCGCCATGAAGTTGACCGCGGTGGAGATCCACTCCCTGGAGGCGAAAGCCACGCAAAGGGCGCCGCGTCGCATGGCCAAGGCCCCTCCTTGCAGGTGCGACGCTGGCTCCGTGATCTTACGGAGGAGGGGGTGGAGCCACATCCAGGGCCTCCCTTACGCGGTGCTTTCTTGAACTGCGGTGGCCTTCAGGGTGCTTACCGGGCACTGCAGCACCTGCAGGCTGCTCGCCTCTCCCTTTTGGTGCTCTGTGAAACACAGGCTTGTGCTTGGAACCACAAACAGCTTACTGCGCGCTTTCAGCAGCTTGGTTACCGGGTTTGGGGCTTTTCAGGGCGCGAGGGCCGGGACACTAGGAACCGTCCGTTTGTTCGTGGCGGCCTTCTTGTGGCGGTTTGCGGCACACTCACCGCGTCGTGCATGCATACACACAGCTCCCCCCGAGGCGATTTGGTTGCCATGGACTTTTCGACTCTCCAGGCGGCTTTTTTCTGGCAGCGCGGTGCTTCCGACAACGAGGGTGGGCTTCTTGACACACTGCTTGGGCTTCACCAGTTGGCTACCAGCCGAGAGGTGCCGTGGCTTGCGTTGGGTGACTGGAACTTGCAGCCTCAGGAGAACACTCTCCGGGATGCTGCTTCTCTACAGCTTTGTGCCCCGCGGGATGAAGCCGGAGAGTTGCGCCCCTCTCGGTTCTCATCATCAAGATGCATCGATTACGGTCTCCTCACAGATGGTTTCTACCTGCACACCAGGCATGACGAAGCGCCCCTCTCGGACCACCGAGTGTTACACTTTGAAGGATGCATGCCCGTTGCCCGGCACAATGCCAGTTTCTTGAGGCCTACGGCTTCCCTGCAACGGCCGTCGGATGTCGCGGTGGACGTTGAGTGGCAAGACTTCTGTGCTGCGGCTGAGGGTGCGCTTTCTGCTGCTGCTAAGGGTTGTGGCCACACGGTGCGCTCTGTGGGCTGCCGGCCCAAAGGCTCTCTGCCGGAGACGCTCTCTGCTGGCGAGGTCGTCCGCTCCCCTGACAAGGAAGTCCCGTACAAAGTGCGCCAGTACACCAAGCTTCTGGGCAGGATCCATGAGGCTCGGCGTCAGCAAGATCGTGGCTCTCCGGCTCTCTGGCGAAACTTGCGGAGAACCTGGCCGGATGAGTTGGGAGTGCTTCCTGTTGACCTGGCGACGGCCGCCAACCACGTGCAAGCGAAGCTCCAGCACGCAAGAGACGCACACACCCGCAGTCGCCTTACTCAGTGGCGACGACGGATGGCACAAGGAGGCAGGGCGGCCACGCAGTGGCTGAAGAGCCAGGTTGCGCGTGCACCCACGGCATTGCGCAGACAGGAGGTGAACGGGCATGTTCACAGGACTCGTTCGGTGGCAGAGTCATTCGAAGCTATGCGGGCTTTCTGGAGGCGCATCTGGCATCGCAAAGGCATTCCTGAAGAGCTGCGGCGGCTTCGAGAAGGGAGTTTGTCACGGCCTGCTGGTGAGGCCATGCAGGGCGACTGGCGGCTGGAGGCTAGGGAGTTCCTGAAGCAGCTTCGCGCCAAGCAGTTCGGCTGGCCCTGACGGCTGGACCCCCTCGGAGCTTGAGGCCTTCGACGAGGAGGTTTGGGAGTGCTTCCTCAGACTGTGGCATGACTGGTGTGAGCGCGATCGGTGTCCGCAAGCTTTCCGCCACTGCAGACAGGTCATGTTGCCCAAGGAGGAGTTTGACTCACAGGGCGAGGTGGACGTTGAGAACATGCGTCCCATATGTGTGCAACCGGTCGTTTGTCGGGTCATCTCTAGTGTCTAGTGTCACGGCCTGCCGCTCCCAGGATTGGCTGCTCGCCAAGGTGGATGCTGACACACACGGCTCGCTCAAGGGCAGGAGCGTTGAGGCCGCCGTGCTGGCGTTAGATGCGGCTTTTGCCACCGACGGCATCTTAGTGAGCCTGGATATGAAGAAGTGCTTCGATTACATGTCCCCGGAGCTTTGCTTAGGCATTTTGCTACACGAGGGCATGCATCCGGCATGGGCGCGACACCTGACGCACATCTGGAGGCACCAGCGCCGTTGGCTTCAGGTGCAACGCTGGGTGGCCGATTTCCATGGGGCACTTCCGGTGGCTGGGCATGGAGATCGCTGAGGTGCTTCCTTTGCTCTCCGGGCGCATGGGCACTCCGCGCTTCGGCAGGGCTAGTGTCCGTTGCAAACACATGCGATGACATGCGAAGCATTGCAATGACACATCGCCTCCTCCCGCCCCCGTGGTTTGGGGGGTGAGTTATGTTCCTTTGCGAACCGTGTTTGCAACCTGCGATCACAAAAGCAACGACCGTCATGGACATCATGACGCGACTACTTGCCAACTACTTCAGCCATGTTTTGAGTTGGGAAGTTGCCCTGCGTCGAAAACTTGCGAAAGTCAGGGAAACGTGACACCAAAATGGTCCAATCCCAGTGACTGCTGGCAGTTTTTATATCGCGATTACGATCCCATCCTCCGAAAACGAGGACTGTCACGAGGATCGCGGCCCCAAGTGGGTCGATGCTTGTGACTGGTGTCGCAGACAGCGCGGGAGAAGAGGGGCGCTACCATAGGGGGCATGGGGTGGGGCAACAGCCCGGGGATGGAGCCGCGCCCATACATACGTACATACATACATACATACATACGTATTTACACATACACATACAAGCATCAAACTTATGTAGACCTTGGCCGACAACTACAGTAAATATTCAATCGTGCAAAATGTGATTTGTAGACAATGGCCAAACAAGGTCAAGGCGAAGATCCAGGACAAGGAAGGCATCCCTCCCGACCAGCAGCGCTTGATCTTCGCCGGCAAGCAGTTGGAGGACGGAAGGACACTTTCCGATTATAACATCCAGAAGGAATCCACCCTTCACTTGGTGTTGCGCTTGCGAGGCGGCATGCAGATCTTCGTGAAGACCCTGACAGGCAAGACGATTACCTTGGATGTTGAGGCTAGCGACACTATCGACAATGTGAAGGCTAAGATTCAGGACAAGGAAGGCATCCCTCCCGACCAGCAGCGCTTGATCTTCGCCGGCAAGCAGTTGGAGGACGGAAGGACACTTTCCGACTACAACATCCAGAAGGAATCCACCCTTCACTTGGTGTTGCGCCTGCGAGGTGGCATGCAGATCTTCGTGAAGACCCTGACGGGCAAGACGATTACCTTGGATGTTGAGGCTAGCGACACTATCGATAATGTGAAGGCAAAGATTCAGGACAAGGAAGGCATCCCTCCCGACCAGCAGCGCTTGATCTTCGCCGGCAAGCAGTTGGAGGACGGAAGGACACTTTCCGACTACAACATCCAGAAGGAATCCACCCTTCACTTGGTGTTGCGCTTGCGAGGCGGCATGCAGATCTTCGTGAAGACCTTGACGGGCAAGACGATTACCTTGGATGTTGAGGCTAGCGACACTATCGACAATGTGAAGGCAAAGATTCAGGACAAGGAAGGGATCCCTCCCGACCAGCAGCGCTTGATCTTCGCCGGCAAGCAGTTGGAGGACGGAAGGACACTTTCCGATTATAACATCCAGAAGGAATCCACCCTTCACTTGGTGTTGCGCTTGCGAGGCGGCATGCAGATCTTCGTGAAGACCCTGACAGGCAAGACGATTACCTTGGATGTTGAGGCTAGCGACACTATCGATAATGTGAAGGCAAAGATTCAGGACAAGGAAGGCATCCCTCCCGACCAGCAGCGCTTGATCTTCGCCGGCAAGCAGTTGGAGGACGGAAGGACACTTTCCGACTACAACATCCAGAAGGAGTCAACCCTTCACTTGGTGTTGCGCCTGCGAGGTGGCATGCAGATCTTCGTGAAGACCCTGACGGGCAAGACGATTACCTTGGATGTTGAGGCCAGCGACACTATCGACAATGTGAAGGCTAAGATTCAGGACAAGGAAGGCATCCCTCCCGACCAGCAGCGCTTGATCTTCGCCGGCAAGCAGTTGGAGGACGGAAGGACACTTTCCGACTACAACATCCAGAAGGAATCCACCCTTCACTTGGTGTTGCGCCTGCGAGGTGGCATGCAGATCTTCGTGAAGACCCTGACGGGCAAGACGATTACTTGGATGTTGAGGCCAGTGACACTATCGATAATGTGAAGGCAAAGATTCAGGACAAGGAAGGCATCCCTCCCGACCAGCAGCGCTTGATCTTCGCCGGCAAGCAGTTGGAGGACGGAAGGACACTTTCCGACTACAACATCCAGAAGGAGTCAACCCTTCACTTGGTGTTGCGCCTGCGAGGTGGCATGCAGATCTTCGTGAAGACCCTGACGGGCAAGACGATTACCTTGGATGTTGAGGCCAGTGACACTATCGATAATGTGAAGGCAAAGATTCAGGACAAGGAAGGCATCCCTCCCGACCAGCAGCGCTTGATCTTCGCCGGCAAGCAGTTGGAGGACGGAAGGACACTTTCCGACTACAACATCCAGAAGGAGTCAACCCTTCACTTGGTGTTGCGCCTGCGAGGTGGCCTTTAGAGCACCTCTGCTTGCAAGTATAGCGGCTTCCTGCACAAAGTCCGTACCTATGCCTACCGCATCTAGCCTGTTAGGAACCTTCATCCCTATTTTTTGCCAACGGAAGTGGGAGCATACTGTAGTTACGTGGATATTGGGGCTGAGCAGGTGAAGCTGTGCCGGGAAATTTTGTTTCAAAGCCGGGCAACGGATCTTTCAGCGAGCGATTGTTTTGGGAAGATATCTTCTGGACTTTGTCGTTGTAGTGCTAGGATAGAAACAGCTCGCAGAGGAGACCGCCTGGCAGGTTCGAGTCAGTTAGGGCTGGGTTGCGCTGCGCCGCATTGTACAGCTTTCAGCCTTAATTGTATGAGCTGCGCTCAGTTCTGCTCACGCAGCACTCGGGCAGAGACTTTGCTGGCCCATCATGCGGCCAAAAGTTGCCGTGCAACCACGTAAATTCTACTGCAGTGCTAATCTTGATCCCCACCTGACCCTCCTGAGGGTCCAACTCTGCTTCCACAAAGACCTCCTCTGAGACCCAGCGGACCTGAAAGCCAAACCGAAAGCCTTCTGCCAGGGAGCCCGGAACCCAAACCCCAAATCGCTTAAGCACTCAGTTTCGGCATGGGGCTGATTGGAGGGGCTTAGTCTGTAATGTGGAAGTTTGTGCCGACGGCTCAGCTCGCCTGGGGCGCCATTGCTTTCGATTGTGAGCCGATCCCAAGGTGTTCAAGACAGTCCTGAGAGGTGCGTCATCGACGGTATCCCAAGCAGCATCGTCTCCATAAAAAATGCACCAAAGCGGAAACCCCAACACCTAAAACCCAAAACTTGTGCACGTAAACCCGAATGCCGAAAGTTCACAGCATTTGAGGCGCTGGGCTCACTCTCCAAGGTGCTCTCCTTGCCTCTTGGCGGTGCACCGTGCAACAACACACACAAGGAGTTTCTGCAGGGGTTCGGTAAGGAGAGTGGCGGGCCTCTGTGTGCGTGTGTGGGTGATCGGGTGCTTGCTGGGATTCTCTTTAGATGTTTTACTTCTGGTGTTTATTTTGCGCTCGATGTTCGCAGATTGTTCGGTCCTACGGCCCCCTGAAGCTCGAATTGGTTTGACGAAGCTTCTGAAATCCTGTTCCTCTGCCTGTTGCTGTGCCTCTAATAGTTCCACTGAAGAGACTCAGTGGCTTCGCAACCCTCCAAGATCGTTTCAGGAAACATCCCACTTCCAAACGCCCCAGGCGCTCCGCAACAGCGAAGACTCTCGAATGGGCCACCGCCTAGACTGCCCAGCCTCTAAACCTCCAACCCGGTTCCCTCAACCTTAAAACCTTACACCCGAACTGCGACAAACGAAACTTCGGAGTCCTTTAAGATAACGTCGGGGCCTAAAAAGTTACAGTATAATTGGGCCTCAAAACCCTATTCTAATTGTTAAGGCCCCTGTATTGTAGTACCCTTATAGATCCCTTGTAGTAACCTTATAGACCCCCTTCAAAGAAGCCCTATTCTAATGATTAGGGGCAGGCCCCTATATTAAGCTCCCTCCTCCATCCTCCACTGCCAAAGCGAAGGCTCGGCTGCACGCTGGGCGTGCTCTTCAGCCTTTGCCTCCCGGCGCTGCTCTACGCCTCACTGTCGGGAGACCCAGAGAGGAGAGGAAAGTAGGAGCAGGGGCCTAAATAATTACCAAGACTATTGTGGGGTTCCCTATTATGATTACAGCATAATGGGCCCCAAAACCCTATTCTACTTATTAAGGCCCCTACATCAACAGCAGCAAAGCAGCAGCAGCAACAACAACAACAACAAGGACGAAGCCAGCGAGAACGAGCAATAGGGAGAAGAGTAGCGATGGCAAGAGCAAGAACAACAATAGTAAATGGAAATGGTTGCTGCACTAGTCATGTTCGTGGCAATGCTGAGAAGAGTCAACATAATCATTTGCAAGTGCCACCCTCAGGATGGCCACTACCTGAGTTTCAGCATATGGGGGCACTGATATCCTTGGCGTCGGTCCGTGCAACTTGTGATTGAGGATGCAGGCATCCTCCTGAAATGCCTTCGCCAAGGCTACGCGATGTGGCAGCACTGAAGCAGCACAGCAAGAAGAGGTGCAGTCTCTGGCTAGCATCGTTGTGTAGTGATGTTGTCTTGATGGCGTGCTTATTCGGTCGACCCCGCGCGGTAACTGGTTTGAGCTCTCGCCTGTGTTCGTGCTCGATGGAAGTCAGAGCCGCTCAAGCCGCCTGCGAGGTTCTGGAAGTTCTTTGCAACGCTGAGGCCCCAAAACCCCGAAGCCGGCAGACCCATTCCGCCACAAAAGCAAGCCCCAAACGCCCCATCCTAAGCATTCTGTGGTAAAAGTCGAGTCCCGAATCATGGCGCCTGATTAAGCTGTTTGTGCGCAAAGACTTGCGCACCGAAAAGCTCCCCCAAACCCAAGTTGACCCACACACCCTGGACCGAAACCCCGAGATGGAGAAATCCAAAACGGCCTACGGAGAATATATCATATCTCATATACTACAGAATTATGTATTATATATTATACATCATTTTATATATGGTATGTCATATTATAGTATATTATATATATATATATATATATATACACATCTATATATAT